GTGGTTATTAAATCTTAGGAAATCATAGGATCCGGCCAAATGATTGGATACAGAATGATGCACTTAAAATGTAGAGCGTATTTACGGGGAAGAGGAGACCGAACAGTTACTGTTGTGTTCTCGACCCAGATAGTGTTGACTAGACGAGCACGAAAACACCTCAGTAGCACGTGTGACGTGTGTAGAATTTTGTTGAAAGCCCAGATAAAAGTAAAAAGCTACTATTTTGTGTTTATCCATGGCAGTTCGACTTCACACACACGCGCGCGCGCGCTCTGAGCCAGTGGACGCGCACTGCACAATGTTTCGACTTTAATCTCGAAACATTTCGACTTTAATCTCGAAACATTTCGACTTTAATCTCGAAACATTCCGACTTTAATCTCGAAACATTTCGACTTTAATCTCGAAACATTTCGACTTTAATCTCGAAATGCTAGATTTTTTTTTTTTTTTTTTTTTACAGATTTTTTTTTTTTACAGATTTTTTTTTTTTACAGATTTTTTTTTTTTTTACAGATTTTTTTTTTTTTTACTGACTTTTTTTTTTTTTTTAGGTTGCGGTTCAGGGCTTCCGTATAATTGTGAGATAAAAAGTCACAATTATTTTTTTTATTTATTTTTTTATTCAGTGGCGGAGACAAGCTTCCAGAATTTCGGTACCACGGGAAAATCATTTTGAAAAATTTTTCCAATTTATTTGACTATTTGAAGGAAATATAAAATTCAGTTCAATGACTTTATTATTTATGACGGTAAATTTATGAAAGCATGGAAGGCTACATGTTTAAAGGAAAATAATGACGGTATTGAGAAATATTGCTTATAAAAAAATCAAGTGAAAATTATTTATTATTAGTAGTAGTATTTTTAATGAATGGAGACATAGTTAAATCTATTACACAGTAGCCTAATATAATTATTTCTGTCAATTTCTTTAAGTTAAACCAAACTTTTATTTTGACCGGTTGCCTTGGATGATGATATTTTTCTCAAATGAAACAGTAAAATGCTCATGAAGTGACTCATGCGCTTCCAGAATCAGGTTTGACCGGGTACTCGGTACCTACGATACATGGTACCGTGACGTTTAGTATTTTTTACCACCGACTTGATACCGAAGTACCGAATATTTTGACAACACTAATATACACATCTGCACATTCTCCTCAAAGCATTGGATTCATCCGCGCTGTGCCGTGCCGAGGCACAACCCACGTAAAGTTGATAATTTCGCAAATAACTGCAATTACAGATTTCAAACAGAGATGGCGACAAAGAGGAAAAACTACGGACTGCAGATTTAAAATGTAACTGAAGTGTGTGAGAATGATGCAATAACAGCTTCCAGATCCTAATCCACAGGTTCTGGATCTTGTTCTTGCACAAATTAAGCCCTTTGCTTAAATAAATGCATGAGATATATTGGATGTTTTTACTTGGATCTGAATAGATTTATGTTGGGATAGAGCCAAAGCAAGCCTTAAGCCTTAAGCTTAAACATCTATCACCAGCTCATCCCCCTCATTATACGGCTTCACTGATATGGGCCGTCATTCCCTTAAAAACCGACCTCATGACGTCAGGGTCCAACACGACCTTTTGATAGATCATGTTTTGAAAGAAAATTGACAGGCAAACTGTACACCCCTCGACTGAGGTGAGTTCATTCTAGCTAGGTTTCTATTAGCTGTGTTAAGGAGGGATTATGTTGTCTTGAGGGAGTCAAAGCTTTGTAAGCGAATGAATCCCAAACCTCTAAATCCTATTAGCTGCATACAGAGGTGAGGGAACACAGAGCCATGGCTTAACCTTAAGACTGACAGACGCACAATTGTGTTTTATTGCATCTGTTTGTCTCTTTCAACAAACACAGCCCAGCATAATAGAAATTGTCTGAGGTCTCTATAAACCTGATTCATAAAGGGTTTGTTGCTTTCCTCAGTAAATCTTCCTTTCTCTTCGGTTTCTCCATCGCTATCTGATCTGAAACATATTCCGTCGTCACAGGCAGCAGGAAGTCTTCAAGACACGTCTGATTTCAATGTTTGCATAACATCCTGTCTAGATTCCTAGTTGGTTTTTGAAGACAGCATTGATATTTCCTTCACTGTCGGCGGTTTGCGTGTGTGTTTCAACTTGACTCAGTTTCTACTAAGAAATAAGCATTGTAGTCACCACCAAAGTACTTTTTGTGAGGGTATTAAATATGTAATTTAGCACTTCCAATTTACACTTGATCTTTTCCCAAATATTAGTCTGAATTCCCTGCATTATTAAATATGTCTGCCATTGTCTAATAAGTTAACGCCTCAAGCATCTGGGACACCTTTACCATTCATTTCTTGTTCGTAGTTTTTGTGACGTTTTAAATGTAATTGTATTAACCAAAAGCCCTATATGACCTTACCCAATTGGTTAGGCTTTCTAGTAAACACACAACAAAACATCACATATGTAATGGAGTAAACACCTTGAAAATCTGTTTCATTTTCTATCAAATTAAAAGCATGCAAAAGGCAAGCATTTTCACAACTGGATGTTTGGACCCACTATATGTTGCAGAAGCACATATGTCCATGTGAGTTTATACACAAGGAAAAGAGAACAATAGAAAGGAAAGAAAAAGTAAATAAACTTTTATTTGCGAAGGAGAAAGCGGGTGGTTGGAGGAGAGGAGGAAAAGAGGAATGGATAAAGATATGCATTAGTCAGAGGACGGGAGAGCAGGAGAAAGCCCATGAATCTCAATCTAACTTTATTCAGCTGGGACCAGGAAAGAGCAAGCAAGCAAGGTCATCTGAGATAGAGTGACACAACAATTACACAAGCCTGCCAGACCCATTGCGATTGGTCATCTTGCTCTTTGAGTATCCTTTTTATTTTATTTTTTCTGGCCACCCTTAACTCTCAATAGTTTAGCAAGAGAGTATACAGTAGTATAGCAAGCATAACTTACAATCTGAGCTATGATGTAGGTGTCAACATTCATTATATATGAGGGATTTACAGTACAGAGGGCTTGTCAAAAGAAATGATATTGTGCTGGGGTGTGGAAATTTACAGTGGGTTTTTCCCAGAGTTAGAATTGGCATTATATCGTAACACTTTTAAACTTATTAACTACATTAGTAAGCATGCACTAATAATGTACTGCATTTATACAGCTTTTATTAAAGGAGTAGTTCACTTTTTAAAAAACTTTTTTTTCTGATGATTTACTCACCCCCATGTCATCCAAGATGTCCATGTCATTCTTTCTTCAGTCGAAAAGAAATTAAGGTTTTTGATGAAAACATTCCAGGATTTTCTCCATATAATGGACTTCAATGGGAACCAAACGGTTCAAGGTCCAAAAGACCGTTTCAGTGCAAACTGTTCAGATTCCTTTTTTTTTATTTTTTAAGAAAAACAAAGTTTAAGTTTTATAAGCTCAAATGGTCACCTTGCTCTGTACTGTGATGCGCATTCGTGACTCTCCTGTTTGAACTCGTTTATCAAAATGAACAAATCTTTTCCCAAGTCAATTTGTTCATTTCGTTCGTTGAATGAACCAAATGACACGAATAAAGATTTGTTCATTTTGATCAACGAGTTCGAACAGGAGAGTCACAAACGCGCATCACAGAACAGAGTAAGGCGGCCATTTGAGCTTATAAAACTTTTAAAAAAAATTAACTAAACCCTAAACCAACTTTTTTTAGTTAATGATCTGTAAGAATTGATCGTTTATGAATACCAGTCATTGATTTGAGTAGCTTTTTTGACATTTGTGTATAAAGTGTTTTATTTCTACAATATATGGTGTAAAAATGTCTTAGTGCTGCCCTCTTTAGGTTGAACGGTGGCACTGCAGTTGAATTTTCCTATTGGATGTTAGCGGTTCTTCGTGATGTACACAGGTTTCAGCTCACCCCGCTCTTGGTACGAGCTACAATACGCCCTTGGCAGTATAAAAACCAGCTTGTTTCGTCAAAACCACTGTAGCGAGTCAGGAGTTGGAATTGTGAGTATTGAAAACGATCAGGATAGAGTGTTTTAGCATCTATTTCGTTCCCTATATCTCCGCTGGGGTCTGCCCACTTTTTCAGCATTTTTCAAAAATTGCCTGTGGGTGGAGTCAGGCTCTGACCAGGGGTTTAGTTACCCTTTAAATGAGAGATCGTTTCGCTTGATAAGACCCTTATTCATCGTCTAGAATCGTTTGAAGCCCTTTGAACAGTTTGCAGTTTGCACTGAAACTGTCTTTTGGACCTTGAACCGTTTACCAGTAAAGTCCATTATATATATGGAGAAAAATCCTGGAATGTTTTCATCAAAAACCTTAATTTCTTTTTGACTGACGAAAGAATGACATGGATATCTTGGATGACATGGGGGTGAGTAAATTATCAGCAAAAGTTTTTTTTTTAAAGTGAACTACTCCTTTAACTGTTGTTACACCATTAAAATCTTGTTAAGATTGGTTAATGCACTGTGAACTAACAGGAACAAACAATGAACAGCTGTATTTTTAACAAAGATTAACAAATACAGCAAAATGTATTGCTCATGGTTAGTTCATGTTAGTTATAACATTAACTAATGAACCTTACCGTAGAGTCCATTTTATTTATCAGAAAATATTTCAATGCAAAAGTTCGTTTTGTTTTTTTTCCTTTGGCCTTGGCTCAACACTGTGTTTGGATTTGGTAGCATTACTTTATGTGTTTTCAGTTTATAAAAGCAGGTTCAGCATAATGCCAGTGTATACTTGTTAGCAAAGAAAGAATATGAAAATTTATTTCATCAGTAGCGTTCCTCATTTGCAGTGTGAGGAATGAATTTGCAGCGTTCCTATGTAATTATAGCCCTCCAGCAAATGAGATGGAAACAGAATAAGTACCTCTTTTGCACCCTTTTTATTGAATTTTTCCTTTGGTCGTCATTTATCAAATGTGCTCACTATCCTTAAGCCATAAGGTCTGAATCATGTATTTGTGTAGATGTGGATGTCCTACCCACACAGCTGCAGAGATCTGATTGGTGCTCCCAGTTTCTCAAGTATCCAATCAGAGGCCCTTTGAGAAAATCTGCAAACACACAAATATAAGACGTTAGTCGTTTGAGACATGAAGAATAATTCAAAGCACTCCCATTCATCAATATGTATCACTATTATAGAAATCTATTTCTTATCAATTTCATTAATTTATGGCTTAATTGTGTGCTGTATGCTTTTCTGACATTGATGCACGGGTGTGAATACATCACAAGATTAAAATGTCTCCAAAAAGGCTTTCATTCAAATGTTTGGCCTTGTAATTTTCTAGACAAGTACGGATATCACTGCTTTATCATAACAGAATTATTTGACATGAATAGAATTGGGCCATTGGCATATATAAATGCATTGGATTCCATCATAATGGATGCTTTATATTTCCTACATATGAATTTATTTGAAGTGGCAGCCGGAGATATTACAGTAACAGTACACACACAAGGTCTATTACCAATTTTCATCAACACTGTGGATTTCTGATTAAATGAACACCCATATAACAGAAATCATTTCCTCTGCATGCTCGTTTAAAAGCCTTTGTGGAAAAATCTATTGCGTGCTGTGGAGCAGACACTTTTCCTTCATTATGTCCACATTTGATGAGACGATAACGCTCCATGTGCAATATTTAATGAAGTCAAGAGTGTTCATGTGCACCAGAAGGATTTCCGTGGCCTCTTAGATCGAAATATTACATCGCCTCTGCAGTGAGTTCAAAAAAACGTTTCACCTCATTCATCACAGTTCTGGAAGCATTCCATCCTAAAAAACATATATTTTCCCATTTAGATTTTGTACGGCAACAACATTACAACTGAATATTCTTGTTCCTCTAATCGCAGTTCAATATGGAATCATTTGGTAACGGCTTACTGTTCTGAGAAACACGTATTTGACATTAATTTATGTATTTATTCGCTTTTTGAGAAGGAAAAAGCTCTGATCCACCCATCTGTGTGGCCTACATAGAGAACCTACTGTTCCTGAAATTTGCTCTATTAAGTCACACTGACCCAGGATTGAGAGGCCTCCGAGGAATATGCCCTGTGGCAATCTCTCTCTCTGTCACCACAACCTGACACCTTTACAGTCAGACACGCACAAAATAGGCATCCGAGATATCACAAATCTGAGATAGCAACCATTTCAATAGATTACAATAGCACGTCGTCTCTGACAGCATCACAGCAGACTGCGATGATGGGAAACTAGACCATTTTGTCTTTCTAAGTGGCTGTTTTTATATGCGTTTGAAAGAATAGATAGCTGTTTTTTTTACTACCGAAGTCTCTTGAATCTTCCTGAGCAACTTAGTCAGAGTTGGTTTGACTGCCAACGTGACTTAGCAAAAAAGGGTTAGTTCACTTTGAAATTAATTTTTGGTATGTTTTAGCTTACCTCAAGGGCATCCAAGATGTACTTTAGATGTCTTTGTTTCCGCATTATATTCAATTTTTATATTTTTACGTCAAACCGTTTGTGTCTGTCAGTCATATAATGCAGGTCTATGGTCACCACCTCAAAGAGCATGCACAGAGAAGTCTAAATTAAACATGATTTAATGACTCGCAAATGGCCTAAGACACAAAACGAGCAGTTTGTGTGAGAAAACGAACGGTATTTATATAGTTTTTACCTTTTGTAACCACAGCCACAAAGTGCCCGCGCCCTCAGATCACTTGAACGTGGCTATGGGGTAAAAACTATATAAATACTGTTCGTTTTCTCACACAAACCGCTCGTTTCGTGTCTTAGGCCATCAATGTGTACTTACATTTGTGAGTCATTAAATCATGTTTAATTTGGACTTCTCTGTGCATGCTCTTTGAGGTGGTGACCATAGACCTCCATTATATGACTGACACAAAGACACCTACATCTCAGATGCCCTTGAGGTAAGCTAAAACATACCAAAAATTAATTTCAAAGTGAACTATCCCTTTAATGGCACATGCATTTAGTTGTTTAAGTTCAAGCTTGCAATGCATTGGACACGCATGCACATCTGCATACAGTATTCATATGTTTCAAATACAATGTCTTTATCTTATTTTCCTTCTCAGGAAAATGTAACTTTTGAAAGGATGTTTAGAGGATTTTTACTTTACGAAAAACAAGACAAACCCAGCTAACAGGGAACATTCTGGAAACAAATGTTCTTCAGTAATGTATGTGTAAAGTTATCTGGTCTTTAATAACACTCTCAAAACATTAGCACAAAAACATTTTATTTATACATTGTTCATGGATCGCCCCCTTCTAGTCAGACTCGACACTCACATGGGTTGCCAGATTGAGGACATGCAACAAGAATGAGGGCAAATAATAGTGGAAGGAAGGTGATGAGATGATTTATCTGCATTTACAGTAATATGTCTCTGGACAAGTGAATACTAGAATCTGCGATCTCTGACCCAGTTCGTTTGCTTGCGTTTATGGCTGCAATAAGCTGTGTTTTACGCCAACTGGCAACCCAGAGCTGTCTCAATATCGCACAGGCCAAAACAAAAACAGATATTCTTACATGGAAAGCACATTTCCAAATAGAATAACAGGCTGTAGCATTTATATATAGCTATATCAAGTATATGAACTTAGCATGTTTCCTAAATATCTGCAAATGTATTATGGTATTTAATGATTTAGTGCATCTGAAAAATACTGTACTTACAGCACCTTTAAAACTTGTAATTTGTTATAAATTGATCAACAATATTGTTGTATTACAATATACGCAACCTGCATCTTTGTAGTTGTTAAAAATGTGAAATTATGAAATATGAGCTTGTCCTACATTTTTTTTTAGAATTAAGCAAAAATATGAAGAACTAAAAATGAAATAAATAAATAAATTAGAAGTAGAAATAAATAAATAAATGCAGAAATATAGTGAAAATAAATGTACATTTCGGTAATATAAATGTCTATTTCTGTATTTTTTTACATTTATTTATTTATGCATTTATATTTGTATATATTTATGTATGTATACATTTATTTATCCATATATATATATATATATATATATCATTTATTTATTTTTCCTTTTGTCATTTTTAGCCCTTAATACAAAAACAGATATTGTAGCCTATAATGGCACGCCGGCATTAACTAATATATTACAAACAGAAAGTGAGTCTCCAGTATTCTCTAAAATCTAATTTCTGTATAATACTTACTGTAAGTTCGCAGGATTGTTTCCTTTTCATGCTCATTAGACATAAAAGTTGATTACAAACAGAATCCTAGAAAAGTGATGGTGACTTCTGGGAAATTCGTTAACGTTTCAATGCACTGGAATGCTTTTGACAGCGAGATAGCTCTAGAAATGTCTGATTCTAGTGAATGGCTAATGAACTATGAGGCGGATTGATACTAATTAGGAATTTGATATGTTGTTGTCTTTCATTCCAACCATCCATTATTGAGTGTCAGATTCAGATCAGTCAAAGATGTAATATCGTATTATCTAGAGTCGTCTCACTTTCGCACTCTCTCTCTCTCTCTCTCTCTCTCACTCACTCACTCTCTCTGTGTGTGTGTGTGTTTCCCCATTCAGTGACTGTTCTTTTGTCCTTCTAACTGGTGGTAATTAAATGAACAGGGTGCTTATGGAGAGGTGTCTTTCTGTTCAATTAACTTGACATACTGTGGTACATTACTGCCATCTTTACTGTGACCTTATATAGTGTAGATAAACTTTGTTGAAATTAATTGCCAGGTTAATGAGTTCACAGCTTGTGCATTTCAGCAAATGGTTTCTGTGCCAGCAGGAAGGGAATGTATGTGTCTATTTGCTGAAAAGACAGGTTTTATCTTTGTGTTTTCCAATTCTTAATAACTTGTACATTATTGCATTTTGCCCCATTTTGAAGAACGTCCACATAATTCCTGTGGCTTCAGAGTATAGTGTACAAGCCGTATGAACTACTTTTATGGTGTTTTCATTGTGCTTTTTGTCCCTTTTGGAGGTTGGCTCATTGCAAAAAAAAAACATGGCTTTTGCAAACTCCAAAAACATACATATACAAATACATACAACTCACAGCAGCAACCAACAACTTTGATTTCTATTCACAGATTTTTAAGTGATTATAGGGTATATGATCAATAAACAAAGACTTATTTTTGCATGGTTCCTTGCACAATACTATGTTACGACTTCAAAACACTTAACTAAGTGCATGATTTGTAAACTAATACATTTTGACTTCTGTAACACCAAACCAGCTCCATATGTATGGCTTTTCTGACATAAGTGAATTCAGGTCACCTGAAACACTTTTCCTCAGTCATCACAATAGCAAATATCTCACTTAAAGGGATAGTTCACTTTGAAATTAATTTTTGCTATGTTTTAGCCAACACATTCTCATCCTTTGGCGTCATATAGGTGACGCCATATGACATTTTGTCGAAATACTTCGCACATGGCACCCTTTAGCGTCAATATAACGCACTGTTATGGGTAGGTTTAGGTCTGGGGTAGGGTCTGCTTCTCATATTGACGCTAAAGGATGCCAGTTACCTATATGACGCCTTGGGTTTTGCGTGTTATATTGACGCTAAAGGGTGCCATGTGCGTAGTATTTCGACGAAATGTCATATGGCGTCACCAATATGATGCCAAAGGATGAGAACGGGCTCGTTTTAGCTTACCTCAAGGGCATCCAAGATGTAGGTGTCTTTGTTTCCACAGTAGTTTAAATTTTTGGATGTTTTTAGGTCAAACCGTTCGTGTCTATCAGTCATATAATGGAGGTCTATGGTCACCACCTCAAAGAGCATGCACAGAGAAGTCCAAATTAAACATGATTTAATGACTCGTAACTGTAAGTACGCATTGATGGCCTAAGATACGAAACGAGCGGTTTGTGTGAGAAAACGAACAGTATTTATATCGTTTTTACCTCTTGTAACACGTCCAAGTGATTTGAGGGCGCGGGCGCTTTTGTGACTGCAGTTACAAGAGGTAAAAACGACATAAACACTGTTCGTTTTCTCACACCAAAGATTTATTTCAAAGTGAACTATCCCTTTAACAGATGGCAAGGGGAAAGAGGAAAGAAAAGGGAATGACACAGAATACGAGAATATAATGGATTTGCAAGGACAGGGATGCATTTACATTTCTAAGCAGAACAGCATGTCTGAATCAGTATAAAATGTGGGTGCATTTATTCCACGTTTGTAGGTCATTTGTGAGAGGTACAGTCTGTGTAAGCTTCTTACTGTATTTTTACTCTTTTATTCTCTCACAGACGCATATTTATTCGTCTCTTGGCCATTACATTGCAGTGACCCAGAAAAGCATAAAATTGCATCAGCAAGCCACAAATCACTAAATCCAGTTTCAATAACCTTGCAGAATACAGGGATATAGCACATGTTTAGAACAGGTGCTGTAATTGTGCCAACAGTGCTTTGTTTCCAGGCGTATGTGTTTGTTTTGTGTGAGCGATACTTCACAGTGTGTTCTACAATTTCTTTCAAGGACCTCCTGGTTGCATCACCTGTTTCAGAAATCAATGGGTGAATAACCAAACACTTATATACATTCATTTGTATTCCAGTCACAGTAGGATACAGTGAGCACGACCCTCCGGGGAAGCGACGGAGGAAATACTTCAGCAAGAAAATACTGGGTAAGTTGTTTTAATCAAATTTATAAAACCATTAGTTCCAATCCTTGATTCTGATTGGTCAATAGCTGTGCTTTTTTCACAATAAAACACGGCTATGACCGCTTCACCCAACGGCTCTATTTATCGCTGCGCAACACTGCGTCTCATGTTGTTTTTATTTGAGCTTTCAGGCATATTACACATTGGAACGTTGTTGCTGTTCACGGTCAGGGACTATTTTTCCTAGCGGAAGGAAGGCTTTTAGTGATTTTACTTCATGAAAGTTGCACTAATAATTTTTTTTATCATAACCTAAAACATTATAAAACGGTCTAACTAGTATAAGTTCACACTCACAGTAAGGTTAGAAGTAAAAAAAAGATGTGCTTGTTGATCTTTGCAGAGTTTAGCTGACTGAGGACATCCACACAGTTTCCAAAGACGACACTCCAACCTCTCTGGGAAACGCGTATCTGTGTTACAAATGTGTTGAAAGTGTGTTGAAAGTCAATGGAGCGCTGTGAAAAAGTGTCCGACCTCTGTGGGAGCTCATTCTTGGCTGCGCTGTGATTGGTCAATCTACATTCTAGGGCGTGGCTTAGCCAAAGGGGAATTGCGACTTATCAGGCCAATTCTAAGGGGAAAAAAGACTAACTTTTCAGAATAGTTTAAATATCACAATTCTGACTTTATATCATGCATTTCTGACTTTACAACACGCAATTGCGACTTTATATCTAGCAATTCTTACTTTATATTTCACAATTCTGACTTTATATCACACAATTGTGACTTTATATCTCGCAATTCTGACTTTATATCTCGCAATTCTGACTTTATATCTCACAATTCTGACTTTATAACACGCAATTCTGACTTTATATTTCGCAATTCTGACCTTCCATCTCGCAATTCTGAGAAATAAAGTCAGAATTGCGAGAAGTAAACTCGCAATTGTGAGAAAAAAGTCTGAATTGTGAGATAAAGTCCCAATTACCTTTTATATTTTTCATTATAAGGCGGAAACAAGCTTCCATTGAAACCAGCCCACTCATTCTGATATAAACAAATGTTCTAATTTCCGTGAGTTGTACAGGGCATTTTTTATTTACTTGATATTTGAAACAAATATGAAAATGCATCTACATCAACATTTATGTGAAATCTGCCCACTCGTTTCGACTGCATGGCACAAAAAAGACGACACAATGTTCTGGTAAACAGCACATGGAGAAGCATCAGATCTGTTGAATACTCAATCGAAACATCCACCACCCGCCCCCAACCAATTTTACGCCACTTGGAACCCTCCACACACCAGCAGAATCTTAATCAACAGAGGTTACTGCAGATCATGCCGTTTTAATTGATAGCTAGGGATGCCAGCTGAATTTCAAGCTTATAGGTGATACTATCACATCACCGGAAATGAGTGATACCTCATTATTTCCAGATATCAGGAGGAGAAAGTAGAAGTACAGGAAAGAGATTAACATGAAATGCTAAATTAATGATGGCATGCAGATGGTTCTCCAAAAGAGAATTACATAAATAATATACTCGCTTCAAAAATCTGAAATTTGACTTATTTTCCCTTTATTATATCCTTAAAACAAGATATACGGTATGTAAATGAGAAACAAAACTGCATGAGAATTGTTTTCTTATATTAAATTTATTCATCTTACCCCACTCTCCGACTGCTTTTTAAAGCATAAATTTCAATAAACTTGGTAAGATGTATGCTTAAAGCTTGAAAAACAATTGAAAGGTAATTTGCCTAGATCCAAGATATATTATATGAAAACAAGCCTTAATGTCTCATGCAGTTTTCTCTTCTCAAGTAAATTCATCTTTTTTTCTTTTTTTAAGGATGTTCAGATGTTGTTTTACTGGAATACATAAATACCGATTAAGGAAATTATTTCTGATAATTATTCTAAATTATCAGAATTAGAATAATTTTACATGCACTCACAACTTCCACAAGGCATTCCTACTATTGCAGTCTGATGTAAATGAAATGATTTAAATGACTCTTTTTGTGGCGTATGACAGTTTCATTAAGTTGTGTGAAGCTAGGGCTGAAAAAAAGTTGTGTGACCATCTTTTCTATAATCATAAATAAGGCAGCCTGATTATGCTTAATGAGTTAGTATGTGAGAAGAAAGAAAAATATGACATTTTATGTTTGACCATCACTATAAGGTCACAAAAAAAGAAGAAAATGCCATGACTTTACATTTAAAAAATAGATTGTAAAAAAGACATCAAGATTACAGGCTATAAGAATTATCAGATACAACAGAGATCTGAAACTTACAGCAACCAACAAATTAAATGATCTCCAAAGAGGCAAAATAGTCAGTGTCCAAATCTGTCACCAAAAACAACAATTTTTTATTTTTTTATCTAAAGGGCGAGGCGTAAAAATAGTAATGACAGGATATGGCAAAAATAAATAAACTTTTTCAAAGGATAGTTGCTAAATGACATTGAAGTACAGGCTCAAACATTATTACACAAGTTTGCAAAAATCACTGAAACTTTATGGACATGGTGGGTGCAAATTTGAGTTTACTATCTAAATGTATTTTCTACCATTCTCTCTTTCTATAGGTAGATGTGTCAGGCTTTCCCATGAATATCATTCATTTTATGAACATTCATGAACTGAGAATAATGGAGCTGTTTAAACTTGTTTGTTCTTCAGATCAGACTTTGTCTGTGCAAAGTTTCATTCAAAACGCTGATATGCATGTAAATGCATGTAATAAGTGAATGGACTCATTTTATCCGACCCTTCCCTTCCATTACCTTTTATGTAACCAGAACCATATCCTGTAAATCTGTCATATCACTCAACCCCTACAGGGGGAGGTGCCCCGGGCACTTTCAGCAAAAAGAGAAAATATGTTTATGGCTGAAGGGGAAAAAAGCCGTGTTTAAGTAAAAAGCTGCTGGACAGAGTTGTTTGGACGTTGTGGAAGTTTCTTCTGACATCACGCATCCGGTGAGTTCTCATGTTGATTTCTAATACATACAGTGAATGAGTGCAAGTGTTTTATACGTTTTATGTGTGCTGGTCAGTGAAATACATAGTTTATTATTTGCATTGCCCGGCGTCGTGTTAGTTATTTCAAATTGCGCTGATTTGGTAGGCTATTTAGTTCGTGAAAGCGTTGATGGTTTTGAATGAATCTTTGAATCGAACGAATCGTTCTCGTGTAGCCTACTTCCATGCACTCCCTCGTGTCTTTCGATTACCGCAGCCTTTTCTTTTCAATCGCTTTTCTGTTTTGTTTCAAAATAATGACTTAAGCATGAACTAATACATTCTAAAGTACGACTGTTTTTCGATCTAATGAACGAATATGGAACGTCTGGACATAACTACTGATCGAACGTCACGTGAATCAGTCTAGTTCACACTGACCGGAAACTAGCTGCAAACGATTCAGGTTGATTTATTTCACTGAACAAAATGGAATTAAATTTTTTAGCGAGAAAATCAAGAGATATAGTCACTGGAATTCATCAAAATCCCCACCAGTATTGTGGTGTTCAAATGTCACAGTAGGCTAACAGATATGTAGCCTATGTGTTACAAATATTTTAATGTCACATTTAAACTGTAGCCTAAAGGGTGGTGTTCTTAGAATGGTTGGGGTTTTTTAAATTATAAAATCATTGATGGATGGTAAAATGGTTGTTTCCAGAGGCAGCTGGTACTTTTTAGACAGATGACTGCTATATGCATGACAAAAGTGTACTTTCATATTTTGTTGTCTATAATGTTCCTCCAATGCAGCTGTCCAACTACCAAGTGTACTCAACTTGACTAAGCTATATTTTCACAGTTTTAAAATGCAAGGTAATAGACAAAATTATTAACTTAAGATCTGCTAAGACATGCTTTAGCTACTCCCTTGGCTGCTCCTATTGGGCACACCGAATACATCAACGAGTAGCTACTTTACCCTTTGGTCCTTTGAAAACATGAACTTTCACTCACCCACTGCAATATGTATGTACAAAAGAACTGTTGTGGGAGTGAACAAAAGGGATAAGGAAGAGTAAACTGTGACTTATGTTACAACTTGACCATGATTTGCCATGTCACGTTTTCATGAGTCTGTTTTCTGAGAGAAAATATTTGAGAGCTCATGTAATATAAACTGGGTAGAGTTCCAGTCAAAGTAAAAATACAAAAAATAATAATAATAATCGTATGGAAATCGTCCAGGCCAAAGTTTCATCTTCCATGAGGAACCAATGCTTTTGTCATGCACATTGAGGCTGAAGGAGAGTGAGCTGTGCTTGTACTTAGACTCAACAAAGTGGTTCTGGCAATGATTTTGTAGTCTACATTTTCATGGGTAAGAACATGTTTCTTGGTATGGAACTGGATATGGATCAAAGGAGCAATAAATAACTCATAATGTTGACCAGACTTATTTGACTGTCAAATATTAAATGGTTAAGTCTTTCTTTAAATTGTTCCTACAAATGTAACATGACATGCTCAAGTCTTTCAGTGGATCATTCTTGTTCCCCTGCTTTACCACAGGTGCCATGAACAACGAGTTTTTTCAGTCATGTGGCCAAATCTGGATTGTCCTTCTGCTGACGACCGTCCCAGTTGTTCAGAGCGGGAAGGTTCTTGTCTTTCCTGTGGATGGCAGTCACTGGGTCAACATGAACATCTTGGTTGAAGCACTTCATGCCAAAGGTCACAATGTTACAGTCATCCGGATGGCAGACAGCTGGTACATCAAAGAATCCTCACCTCACTACACATCGATCAATCTCAAGTCTGAAGGAGGATTTAGTGAAGAATTCTATGAGATGTTTGCACTCAGACTCATGAAAATTCAGAGGGAAGGTTCCACCTGGGCTCGCCTCAAGCTGGAGATAGAGATGTGGGAAAGTACTTTTGAGTTGACGAAAATAGAAAGAGAGATGATTAACAGTATGATGGAAGATCAGCAGCTGATGCAGTCCTTTAGGGATGCCAAGTATGATTTGCTCCTTACAGATCCACTCTTGTTTGGAGGCACCCTTTTGGGCCATTTTCTGAAACTGCCCATTGTCTACAATGTCCGTTGGATAATGTATAGTGAAGGTCATTTTGCAATAGCGCCCTCTCCGCTTTCTTATGTTCCTTCTCTAATGGTGGAGTTATCAGACCGCATGAGCTTTTTTCAAAGAGTGAAGAATGTTTTGGTGTACATCATAACTGAAGCACAAGGCGCTTTCCTGTTCGCTCCACATTATAATGCACTTTGTGAACGGTACATTGGTCCAGGAGTGAACTTCCTTACCTTACTTCAGAGTGCTGATCTGTGGCTCCATAGAGTTGATTTCATTTTTGAATTCCCGCGTCCCACTATGCCAAACATCGTCTACATGGGAGGTTTTCAGTGCAAGCCATCAAAGCCTCTTCCACAAGATCTGGAGGACTTTGTGCAGAGCTCTGGGGAGCATGGTGTCATCATCATGTCTCTGGGCACTCTCATTGGTCAGCTTCCTGATGATGTGGCAGAGGCAATTGCTGAAGCTTTTGCAGAACTTCCACAGAAGATCATCTGGAGGTACAAAGGAAAGAGACCGTCGGCACTAGGGAACAACACCTTAATGCTGGACTGGATGCCTCAGAACGATCTTCTGGGTCACCCTAAGACCAGAGCCTTTGTGGCACATGGAGGAACCAATGGCATTCAAGAAGCCATCTACCACGGGGTACCGATCATTGGGTTTGGGCTGATTTTTGACCAGCCCGATAATCTTTCTAAAATGAGAGTAAAGGGTGTAGCCAAGAATGTAGACTTTGCCACAGTGGATAAGGACTCCTTCCTTCAAACTGTCAAAGAGGTCCTTTATGAGCCCTCTTATCGGGAGAACATGCAGAGGCTCTCGAGGCTTCACAAGGACGTCCCAGTGAAGCCTCTGGACAACGCCATCTTCTGGATTGAGTTTGTTATGAGGCACAAAGGTGCCGCTCACTTGCGCACAGACTCTTACAAAATGCCCTGGTACTCTTATCACTCTGTTGATGTCGTTCTGCTCCTGCTTTCTGCTGTGTCACTCATCATCCTGACTATATATGCGCTTATCAAGTATTTCTGCTGCAGAATATGCATGAGAAAAGCAAAGAGCAAAAGTGAATGATGTTAACTTAATTGACATAATGGGTCTCATTCATGAAACATTCGTAAATATACGAGTAAATATGAGAGTGATTTGTGCGTAAAGAGACCTTCCCGAAAACTCTTCTCCTGATTCACAAATACTTCGTAAACGTCAGATGTGATAGTGAAATGTGTGTGTTAATGAATTCCAACCAGTCGTAAATGGGATACGCGTGCACGTTTATTTTCAATTACCGTAAATCCCGCCCATCTACGCATATAATATTATGAATGCGAATGAAAAAGAAAGATTTCTCGGATGCAGAAATTGAAATTTAATTATCAGTAGTTCATTCAAAACGCCACATTTTATTTGCAAGCGTACTAGTGGCCTTTCAGGTCCTTAAAAAGGAAGCAGCATTACAGATGCAGTTAATGGAGTTTCATCTGTTAATCGAACAGTCCCAGAAGTGAGAAGAAAATGGTTCGACAATAAGCTTGACAGCAAAAACGAATTAGTTCACTTCGGAAAAATCGTATTCAAACTGGAGAAGGACCACCATCGATCACCAGATCTGCTATTACTGGCTCTCATGATAAAAGTAAAAAGAAAAACCGTATGTAATATAAAATATTTTTTTCAAAATGCTGTTTAAATATGTACCCATTGGTGAATTAAAATGCAGCCTTATTAATGAGCAAAACGTTCGGATGTTAAGCGCACCATTTACGCATTGCGCAAAACTTTTGCATTTCTCAGAGAAACTTTGCATTCTCTCGCAAAGATCTCTAACGTTTTACTAGGGAACGCAGTTTTTCAGGGAACGCAAAAGCATTTATTTTATTTTATTTTTTTTAACATATATCTTAAAATGTGTTTTATTTGTGTGATGGTAAAGCTCAGCATCATTCCTCCAGTCTTCATTGTCACATGATCCTTCAGAAATCATTCTAATATAATGAATTGCTGCTCAATAAACCTTTTTATTATTATTAATGATGAAAACAGTTGTGCTGATTAATATGTTTTTGTGGAAACCATGATATATTTGGTTAATAGAACGTTTAAAAGAACAATTTATTGAAATAGAAATGTTTGTAACATCATAAATGTTTTTTTTCTGTCACTTTTGATCAATTCAGTTCATCTTTGCTGAATAAAAGTATTAATTTCTTTTTTTTAAAGTACTGATCCCAGATGCTTGAACAATTTATAGATTCCAATTATAGTGCTATATTGTTCATTAAATTGGGTGACTACAGCACAGTGCCTGTTGTCCCTTTCACATTACAGTATGTTGTGAGAGCAGAGTAAAAAGAAAAGGCCAAGTACCCATAATCCAGCATTGATAGAGCAAAAAGAGCTCTTGTCACAAGAGTTCTTATTATGTCAATGAACAGATAAAAACAGATGACGGGAAATGTACAACCCAGTCCATCAAAGTAGCGGATAGGAATTATTTGCAGTGCAACCTCTGGCTTAGCCAGATCTATGGTGTGTTTAGCAGTCTAATAAACAGACACGATTGCAGCAAAAAATGTCTCCTGGAGTTGTTATTAATGTATTGTGGGATTTTTTTAACCAACCAAGACTGAACATTGTGCTAAATTGTAAAAAAAAAATTCTAATATCTAAATAGTTGGGGATTTTATGGCTTTCACTTTTGTTGCAACTTGAAAAATTCTTTATTTAAATAGATCACATGGCTGTGACTTTTGTTTTTCTTCTATTATTCTCATTGCGATAAATTTACTGAATGCAATATCCATTTTGTTCTTACTGAATTACAAAAAGATTTAGTTAACTAAGGACAGTTTGCAGCCTAGTATTTTAGCACTTACTGTCAAAATATTTACAAAAGAATGTATTTTTACATAAGCAACATAAATAAATATTACCACCCTGGAATACAAAATAACTTAATTAAAAAATATATTATTATTATTGTGAAAATCATGTGGCCCAAAAAAAAGTGATAAATTAATTTCAGCTTTTTTTGTGGAAGAGCTAAATTCTAGCTGTCCTTAAATGATGGACATGCAACTAATTTTAAAATTAGCTTGTTCTCTTTTTTTTTTCTTTGCGACAGGAACTATGAATGGACAGGTTTTTCCGGTGCTTGGGCCAATCATGCTAACCCTCCTGCTGACGACCGTCCCAGTTGTTCAGAGCGGGAAGGTTCTTGTCTTTCCTGTGGATGGCAGTCACTGGGTCAACATGAACATCTTGGTTATAGCACTTCATGCCAAAGGTCACGATGTTACAGTCATCCGGATGGCAGACAGCTGGTACATCAAAGAATCCTCACCTCACTACACATCGATCAATCTCAAGTCTGAAGGAGGACTTAGTGAAGAATTCCTAGATATGTTTGCATCCAGGTACTCGTTCTGTTCCTGCTTTCTGCTGTGTCACTCATCATCCTGACTATATATGCACTTATCAAGTATTTCTGCTGCAGAATATGCATGAGAAAAGCAAAGAGCAAAAGTGAATGATTTTTAACTAAATTGACACATTGTGTTTTTACACAAAGACTCAGTATCTGTATTTTTTCTGTTAGACTATATTCAAACCTTTTTTCAGTAAAATAATCAGGTCGATCTCTTCATTAAAATTTCATTTTATTTGGTGATTTATTCATTTTTATTCATTCAAATCATTATATTATTATGCATTACACTATAATTTTCACTCACTATAGGTACAAATCTTGTAAAAATATGTAATTTATTGTATAGAGTGTATCACAGCATTCAGTGGTCAGATATTTCCTAATATTCACCATCTTGCGTCTCAGTTATCGACTATTGATACTGACCTCTGAGATTTTCAATATTAATATTACTTTAAAGTTATAGTGTTCTTCTCTGCTCCTGATCACCCTGTCATCATTTATTTTGTAATAAAAACCAACTGAACGTACATTAATTCTTATATACTTAGCCCTGGTGATGGAAAAAAACAAACAAAAGCAAATGACTGTTGTTTCTTTTACTATTATTGTTATTTTATTTTTGTAAATTAAATTAATTCATCAATACATGTTTTTCATTTGGAGGATTAAAAGGCTACAAATCCTGTAAAAAAAATCTGTACTTTGGAGGGTTTGTGAAATATATATATATATATATGAAATATATATTTTATATCCATGTGCATTGGTACAGTTTGAATGCTTGCATGTCTCTTAGAAGGCTTCATCAATATACATATCATTTATGAATATAAAGATCATTTTAAAAGCGATTAAAGGTTTTGGTTGTCTTGTCAGACAGTATAATATGTATTATAAATATCTCAATCCAAAATACACACACGCACACACGTACGTTGTGATATATTAGGAATTGCAGTTAAATTTAGCAATAATAACAATCAAATAGTCTATTATTTTTTGTTGATTTGACTAAGCACATTGTTTAAGGTCTACTAACTAGTTGAAAACTTTACTTTTTTCGGTTTCAGACTTTGTTGGATTAATGCATTTGCATATTGTTGAAAAGAAAGGGAATTTTTTATTACATATATATATATATATAGTTAATGGGTTAATCCAATGGAAATGTTGTCATAATTTACTCAACGTCATGTTGTGCCTAAACCCAAACAGTAAAGAGAGTTACTGTAGTTTGTACCATAAATGTAAATTTGTATAGTAACTTATTAACTATATTTGAAGGTAAATGCCCCTTGCCCTTTAACGATAGTTAAACGAACCTTCACTTACATATAGAAATAGATGTTGATATGCATAGCAAGGACAAACGCTGTGCTAATAGTTGGATGACTTGCACTCCATTTCACAAAATTTAACAGAGAGATTTTCCATTCAATGATGGGTGAGATTTTTAATTCTTTTTTTCATTTAAAAAGATGCAGTTTATCTTATTGTGATTCATGTTTATTACTATGTAATATTTGAAGGTTTCCCCAAGCAATTAAATATGGGTCCTGTATATATTAGGCCTGTATACATAATGCTTTTTTTTGTTGTTCATGTTTTTAGTTAATGCAATTAATTTAATATTTTATTATGCTGAAGTTTGCCTCTAAATATTTCCTCTCTGTGCATTCAATGTATACAGTTCCTTTTTTAAGCAAGAATACGAGAATCAATGCAGTATTTTAACTATAATTGTTCACATTTACAATCTGGACCATTTTATTTTGAATTGTATCTTTTCTTTTCTTTGCGACAGGAACTATGAATGGACAGGTTTTTCCGGTGCTTCGGCCAATCATGCTAACCCTCCTGATGACGACCGTCCCAGTTGTTCAGAGCGGGAAGGTTCTTGTCTATCCTGTGGATGGCAGTCACTGGGTCAACATGAACATCTTGGTCGAAGCACTTCATGCCAAAGGTCACAATGTTACAGTCATCCGGATGACAGACAGCTGGTACATCAAAGAATCCTCACCTCACTACACATCGATCAATCTCAAGTCTGAAGGAGGATTTAGTGAAGATTTCTTCAAGGTGTTTGCATCTAAACTACTGGGAATTATGAGGGAGGGTTCGATCTGGGCTCGTCTCAAGTTGGAGATTGAGATGTGGCAAGGTTTTTTAGAGATGCTTGAAACAGAAAACAAGATGATGATCAACATGTTTGAAGACCACCAGCTGATACAGTCCTTAAAAGAAGCCAAATATGATTTGATTCTAACAGATCCAGCCATGTTACCAGGTATACTATTGGGTCATTATCTCAAACTGCCCATTGTCTACAATGTCCGTTGGACAGTTTACAGTGAGGCTCATTTTGCAATAGCTCCTTCACCGCTTTCTTATGTTCCTGCTCCAATGCTGGAGTTATCAGACCGTATGAGCTTCTTGGAAAGAGTGAAGAATGTAGTGATGTACATCGTAGCAGAAATACAGATAGCTACCATGATTACTCCAACTTATAATGCACTTTGTGAACGGTTCATTGGCCCAGGAACATCCTACTTTAGTTTACTTCAGAGTGCCGATCTGTGGCTCCATAGAGTTGATTTTATTTTTGAATTCCCGCGTCCCACTATGCCAAACATCGTCTACATGGCAGGTTTTCAGTGCAAGCCATCAAAGCCTCTTCCACAAGATCTGGAGGACTTTGTGCAGAGCTCTGGGGAGCACGGTGTCATCATCATGTCTCTGGGCACTCTCATTGGTCAGCTTCCTGATGATGTGGCAGAGGCAATTGCTGAAGCTTTTGCAGAACTTCCACAGAAGATCATCTGGAGGTACAAAGGAAAGAGACCGTCGGCACTAGGGAACAACACCTTAATGCTGGACTGGATGCCTCAGAACGATCTTCTGGGTCACCCTAAGACCAGAGCCTTTGTGGCACATGGAGGAACCAATGGCATTCAAGAAGCCATCTACCACGGGGTACCGATCATTGGGTTTGGGCTGATTTTTGACCAGCCCGATAATCTTTCTAAAATGAGAGTAAAGGGTGTAGCCAAGAATGTAGACTTTGCCACAGTGGATAAGGACTCCTTCCTTCAAACTGTCCAAGAGGTCCTTTATGAGCCCTCTTATCGGGAGAACATGCAGAGGCTCTCGAGGCTTCACAAGGACGTCCCAGTGAAGCCTCTGGACAACGCCATCTTCTGGATTGAGTTTGTTATGAGGCACAAAGGTGCCGCTCACTTGCGCACAGACTCTTACAAAATGCCCTGGTACTCTTATCACTCTGTTGATGTCGTTCTGCTCCTGCTTTCTGCTGTGTCACTCATCATCCTGACTATATATGCGCTTATCAAGTATTTCTGCTGCAGAATATGCATGAGAAAAGCAAAAAGCAAGCTACAATAATGAGGTAATAATAATTATAATAATTTAGTCCTCAGTTGTAAGTCGCTTTGGATAAAAGTGTCTGCTAAATGACTAAATGTAAATGAATGACACAAGTAAAAATGACAGGTCCAATGGGGCAACCTGTGATTGTGATTATGTATTGCTCAAGAGCACAGTGGTGGTAGGTGTCTCCAGTTTATGATTTCTTAGCCCAAATTAGCATATACTTTTAGATGGTCTAAGTGAGGATTTTGTAGTACAAGTTTTGTCAATATAAATGTGGTGGAATTTTGCAGTTTTTCTCATTTGCATTGGCTCAGTTCTCATTGGCCAATTTACTGACTGAATTGAATTAGTTCTTTCACTTGCTATAGGACACATTCCTCAATACTCGACTTTACTCTTCACACAGTTCTTCTTACCAACTCAACTTGGCACTGCAGGTAATTTCACATTCAAAATGCACTAAAGCTACCAAAGCACTTTAAACATGTCTCGAATCCAGTCATTCTTCTATAACAAAGTAAAGGCTATCACACAACAAACACACTTTGTCAATCACAACAATCTGAAAAAGTTTTCAAACTAAACAATGTTTTCTTTTGTAAAATTTCTTTACAAAGCAAGAAAGACACTCTCTACTATGGAAGCTTGTTTCCGCCACTGAATATAGAAATAAAATAAATAATTGTGACTTTTTATCTCTCTATTCTGACTTTTTTTCTCACAATTGAGAGTTTATATCGGGCAATTCTGAGAATTGCGAGATCAAAAGTCAGAAGTGTGTGATATAAATTCGCAATTGCGAAATATAAAGTCAGAATTGCGAGTTATAAAGTCAGAATTGCGAGATATAGTCAGAATTGTGAGATATAAAGTCAGAATTGCGTGATATAAAGTCAGAATTGTGAGATATAAAGTCAGAATTGTGAGATATAAAGTCAGAATTGCGAGTTATAAAGTCAGAATAGCAAGATATAAAGTCGCAATTCTGAGAAATAAAGTTGCAATTCTGAGAAAAAAAGAGAAGTGCAACTTTTTGTCTCAAAATTTTGACTTTTTTCTCACAATTGAGAGTTTACATCTCGCAATTCTGACTTTATAACACATAATTGCGAGTTTATATGTCGAAATTCTGACATTTTTTCTCAGAATTGTGAGATATAAACACGCAATTGCGACTTATCAGGCCAATTCTAAGGGGAAAAAAGAATGTAGGGGCAGTTGGGCATTTTTGCAAGTTGCTTGTGTAATATTGCTTGCTTATTGCTTTAAGTGATATTTCCTACTTTGCACTTCTGAAGTTGTAATTATGAGTTTGCTGTGTTCAAGTGCTTTATTTTTGAATAATTTTGTAGTGTTTCATTAGTCCATAAGCAAGCATACAATATGCTGACTAGTCAACTTGTTTTTTGAATTTTGGTCAAATGAATGCTATTTTTGCTCTGTAAAATTCATGCAACATGCATCAAATGGTTATTCATAGATGGAAATGTACTTGACTGAAACAACAAGAGAAAGCAATATACGTAGATGTAGTGAGGAAAACAAATAAAACAACAATCACTAACATAAAGGCTTTTCTCCTCCTCTGCTGCTTTTATATTGATGGAGTTCATGTTAAGCCTTCGTCATTGATTTGCAACCTTGGTGTCTTATTCGACTCAACTCTATCTTTCGGCTCTCATATTTCTTCTCTTATCAAAAAAATGTTTCTTTCATCTTCGCATTATTTCTCGTGTGCGATCTTCTTTCAATTTAGCTGATGCTGAAACCTTAATTCATGCACTAATCACATCACGGCTAGACTATTGCAATGCTTCATTTCTTGGTCTCCCCAAAAAACGTATTGCAAGACTACAGCAGTGGTGTAGTCTAGTTTTTTGTAGTGAGTATACTGTGATATACCAGCAGCCCCCCCCCCCCCCCGCCACCACCACCCATTTGCGAAAAATTTTCAAAACTTGTGTGATATTCCTTTAAAGTTCTGTCTTAATAGATTTGATTATTATTATTTTATAAATTACATTTTACTATGCAATTTCTTTCATTATTCCATCGAGTTACTTTATTTATCTCTATAAACTGTTGTAAATTAAAGACATTTGAGCTCCTGTGTGTTTTAATAAACTATTATTAATATTATTAGGCCTACTTGAAGTACTCTGCTGTGCAATAGTAATATATTTCTTTTAAACTTTGACAGGTTGCATGAAGCAGGGGCGTCACTAGGTTTAGTTTAGGATCTAATGCTCACCATTAACCGGTTTCATTACATGCAAAAGGCAGGGTTTTATAATCACTGTTGTCCCAAATGTGAGGTAGGTTAGTTAGGGGAGTTCAGGGTTTCCCTGAGAAAAATTTTATTTCTCTGATCTACATATGTGCATTTTAGGATGTTTTGAAGGCCAAAAAAATAGATAACAGCTTTAAAACCATGTCAGTGGGCACTGGGCAGCTGATTATTTCTCTCTCCTCATCAGCATCACCCTCTTTTTCTCTTTGTTTTTCTCTTGCCCTGTCTCTTCCCCTCCTAAAGATGAGCTTTGACTGATATAGGCTTTTCATTTTTGTCTGTCAGTGAAGAAAGTAAACATGGGGTCAACTGATGAGTGGATTTTCCCTATGAATAATTTTTCTCGGACACGTTTATTCACTGAAAGCTACTAAAGCTAGGTAATTAAGTTTAAAAAATACATTCAAAACATATAGGCTACACATTCATTATTGATCTTATGACTAATACAGGGCCGTAGACAGGGCTTTATAATCAAAGAGGTCCTAAATTTGAGGTTGGTGCTTCAATTTTTTTGATTTCTCTGATGTGCATTTCAAGACGTTTGAAGAAAAAAAGAATAAGAAATAGCTTTAAAACCATGTCAGTGGGCAGTAAATTCTCTCCCCCTCCAAAGGCTGAGCTTTTTTAATGTAATAAAGGCTACAATTTTTATTATATTATCAATATGTACACATTCGTTATTACTCTTGTGGCTAAAATGATGAAAACGGCTTTGTTAATGTTTCTTGTCCCCTCGCAATGACAGTAGCTAAACTATTAAATTGCATGAGTCACGTTACAGGCCTAGTATTTATTTCACTTCAAAATGGCGAAATTACACAAAACTATAGTTTGCCTGATTATTTTTTGTCATTCGTTTAACATTCATGACCTAAAAAATGTAAAATATGAAATGTTAAGTTTAGCCACTTACATCTTTTCTCGCACTTGCCTGTAAACTGAAGCGTCGAGTCTCTCTGCTGAAATTCGCGCTCAGCAGCGTCTTTGAAATAAAGCCCGCCTACTTTGATTTGATTTGTCATCTCAAATATTCTGACATTGACGAGCAGTGACAGACCAATGAGGCTCAGATGAACACGAACACACAAACACACCCTGCCCTCTGTTTTTGACGTGCTCTCTGCTCGCGCGCTGAATCTAATAAGATTAGGGAACACGAAATTCCGTCGCCTTACGTTTAGGGGGGCTGATGTCGTAGGAAATTTATTTCACAAAACAATGTTGTTACGAATCCTCACGCATTTTAAAGTGGGCTGTGGGCATACGGAGATCTTTGACATTTCCTAGTGGGTATACGCAAATCCTTGACATTTTCTAGTGTGTATACGGCGTATACCTGCGTATCACGTAGACTACACCACTGGACTACAGTATGTTCAAAACTCAGCAGCAAGAGTTCTCACCTCCATCAAATTACTCATCTGCTTCATGACCTTGGCTACCCGTGTATCCACTTTAAGGTTTTGCTTTTAACGTTTAAGGCATTAAAGGGGTGATGAACTGAGAAATCAAATTTTCCTTGAGCTTTTGACATCTAAGAGGTCATCATATTATAAGAATATCCTGTAAGTTTCAGAACTGAAAACGTCCTTGTTAGTCCAATAAAAGCTTTTATTGACACCAGGCTCAGCAAACGACTCGTTTTTCAAAGTGGGGAACTATGATGTCAAAGAGGATAAAACATCACCCCCGCAGAAGAAGATCAACGCCTACTTCAACACGGCCGGTTTAGCCCCGCCCACCGATTCGCGCATTACACGCATAGCTAAATAACATAGATGCCTACCTCGTGATGACAAACCAGATCGAACTACCGAGCAATACAAAATATTGTGCAGCGCCTCGTTGTGGAAGAGGACAGTCGCTGCATAAGCTTCCTCTGGATTCCAATAGGACTGCATGGATAAACTTTATTTTTAATGACGTTCCAGCTGATGAGGGTAAAACATCGTCGTCTGTTCGCTTCATTTCACTGAGGATTTGTAAACAAGACTGGATTTGCAGACCCAGTGCTGTGCTGTCTATATTGGATCTGACAGGAATGGTGCAACACACGGACTCTGGGTCAAACATGTATGGTCGAATCATTCCGGTTGCCATTTTACAACATTGGACGTTTTCAAAACAATTTCCAACAATTTCAAGTGCATCGACGGGTGAGTTGAAACTCATTATAATATGCAAAACTGTTATCCTCTCACAGCAGTGGGCGTTTACTTCCAAGTCTTCAGTGCGAAACGCCCATAAAAACCGAGCGTTTTTCAGCTAGGCTCAAAACTATGGGTAGAAAATAGCCTATTATTTATTCATTTTTGATGTTTTTGAATGTGTAACCCAGGGAAAAATTCTGTCCAAAATTTAATTAATTTTGCCCGGTCACCTGAACACACCCTTCATTTATATTTTTCATGCAAGAGTCACATGATAGTTCAGTGAGCGCTTCAACCAATCCTAGCACTCAAGCGCGGGTTTAGAAGCTGCGGTGAGTTCCCCAATCAGTAGTATGAAGGGGAAGCCACCGGAGCAGCTGCACTCGGTACGTCTCTGCACAAATAATGTTATTTTCCATCTTAAAGGCTCGGTTGACTCTAGCGTGCGATTTTGTATTTGTAGTGTCCATTACCGTTGTTTAGAAGCCGACTGGTGCCGCGGGGTGTCAATTATCTGCGGGAATTGGTGAGTCTGTTTGTTGCTGTGTCCGATAGCATGTTGTTGTTAGCATTTGGCATTACTGTGTATGTGTTCACTGGGATTCTCCGCTAGCTTAATGCTAATAGCATTAGTCATGCTATGCATCTTGTTAGTGAAGTTCTGCTGGTTTAATGCTAACAGCATTTATCTTTGAATGTATTTCTATGCGCTGTTCTAGCTGGTAGTATTAGGTTCCCAATTGTTCCTATGGAGTTCTTTTGGGTTCAATGAATTATGTAAATCATAAACCATGCACTTTATTCAATGTTAAGTATTTAAAGGCGTTTAAAGGTCTTAAGTATTTAAAGGCGTTATTTATATTCTGAATGACAAATTGTATTGAGTGAAATGTAAATAATCCTAAATATGTGTGTTATTTATATGCATTTCAGTTTGTATTATTTTTGTCATTTAACATATTTATGACAATTATTTATGCAGTATTTGAATACTATTGTATTGTGTACACAAGATATATATTATTATAAACCTAGCTAGTAGATCAATTGTATGCGTAGTGACTAAATCATGGGTCCTGTTTATTTAATACAGGCCAGGTGTGACCAGTGCGGGCCAGTTGATGGCGAGCCATTATTTACCTGGAACAGAACCGGCCCAGTAACCTCATTGCCTTGTGGGGTTGGTAGGAGGCTATTGTAGTCTGCTCACCCCTTCTACTCTTATTCGTACACACACACTACTACACACTTAGAGCCATTAGATGAATTCTGGCTCATGGACTATTGCATCCTATGGAAATTCTTGTGTGTTGTGGACCGGTCTTTTTATATGAATATATTCTCCAGTTCTGAGTAATATTGTGCCTGGGTTTCTATGAACTATTGAACCTTTCTGCATGATTGGAGATTTTTGGGTATTGCGTTGTCGTTGTTGTTTTGTCTTTATGTTCACTTAATATATGGTACCAACACCAAACTGAACTGATCTGTTTTGTGTCTTTATTTACTCTATCAATGCCTCCTTGAGACGAACCCTTATCTTCTGTAGCCCAAATTTTACTTACCACCTTCTATAGCGATAGCAATGGTTACACAATAATACACAATTCCCTATGGGAATATGTTACAAATGCAAAAACCAAGCGAACGTCATAAGTTGACCTCAGACAACAATATAATAAAATTTAAAAAGCCAGTTCATGACCCCTTTAAACGGTATTTCACCCCCAAATATGTCTGATACTTGACACCTATCGCACTGCAAGGTCTCTCAGATCAGCTGAACTTGTCCATCCCCCGGTTGTCCAGTTGTCTACAGTAGGTGGATGGTCATTTAGTGTTAATGTTCCCAAATTATGGAATTCATTACATTCGAAATATGTCATCTGTGGCTACATTCAAAACTCAGTTAAAAACATATTTATTTAACATGTGTGTGGTTTAATGTGACTATGTTTGTGTAAGCGTATCTATTGTAAAATAAAATGTAAAGCGACGTTGAGCTATACGGAAAGGCGCTATATAAATAAAACGTCTTTTTCTTCTTCTTCTTCCTCCGCCAAAGTAATAGAACGCAAAAGCATACCATATTCATGGAGTGAGCCAGACTTAAATGCAGGGTTATTGGTAGATTTACAGACTGCCTTACTCATCACGCTAACCACTGGGCTGCATCTACATGAATTTCTGCTGTCAGATATCTGTACACACATACACAATCTGGAACACACTTAATCTGTATGCGTGTTTGAAAATTTCCTGACTTCACGCTTTACAAAACACACAGCAGAACTTTCTGCTGCTCAAGTACTTTAATATGCAGCCGAGCTGCTAAAAATACAAGCGTAATTGAAAGATTTACAAAGTGTTTCTTCTTTTTATGACATCATTATACAGTTTAACTGCGGTTTTAAAGAATATTCAATCTAATGCGGTCGGTGTGTGTACAAGCATATTTTCTGTGTGTGTCGTTGTTTTCTATTTATTTGAAGGATTGTTTGGCATCATCCCCATTATCCTTCAACCTAAACAACACGCAGACTATTTCTGGCATACATCCGAGAGGAATCGACAGTGTCTGAACACCAGTATCAGCAGGTGCAGTGTGTATGTTTAGACATCATGATGTTCACACATTTTTATTACACTCCCTGAGGATAATGTAGAATGTGAACAATACATTTCATACACATGAATCTCATTGTGAGTTATGATCTTATTATTTGCATTATATAGTATTCTAATTTCATGTTAATATGACCAAAATACTAAAGTACTCTAGAGCACAATGAAGCAAGATAACAGAAACCTTTTCATCATTTATCCAGGTTACCATGACAGCCCGAGGGTAGCAGCTCCTTCTCTGTCTGTGTGTGTGTGTGTGTATCTCAACGTCCTTCAAAGGGTGCTCTGTCCACTTAAATAGGACAAACTAGCTTTTTTCTCTCTCCCTCTCTTTTTACTTGAGGGGCAGTACTTTCACCCCATTAGTCATTCTAAAGAATGAGGATGTGAGATGTGTGAAAACTGGGCTAAAAAATCCGGACACATTAAAGTTTATCCATTGTTCATATTTGCTTCGGTGCGAAATGCTGCCCCCCAAAGGACTGTGTGCATTTGTTTATGTTCAGTCCCAGAGCTTTTATGCGTAATGTATGCAGTATTCCTCTATCAGAATACGGATAAGACAGCATTAGCACATTTTTGATGAATGTTTAAGTACATTGAAGCAAGTCATTTGAGCTATTCCCCACCCCCCTCAGATTTCAACCATGACACACTCATGCAGAACGCTGGAAATGTCCTTCAGTCGTTCGTCACACTTTTCGGACAAACTGAAACCGAGTCAGTGAACAGTCCATCGACCACAGTAAACATACAAAATGAAATGTAATATCAAGCTTGATTTTAAAAAAAAGAGAGAGGAAGAAAAAGAGTGTGTTTCTGAGGAAAAAAATTCTTTAGTGTGATTAGAAACTAGTCAGTTTTATGAATAACGTTTGCTTTCTGATTTGAAAAAGTCTGAATTTCTCCTGCCACACACAAAAAAACATTCTATGACCTATTTTGACAAAAACACCATGAGTTGTGTGGTACAATTCCTGTTTAAATCGACATTTTCGTTTTAAAGGGTTCATTCATGTCATGGATTTTTTTTTACTTTAAAGTCCACAGAGGTTCACTTATAATGTTTGTAAAGTTTTTGTACAGACACACATAGACACGCATACACACACGTGTGTGTATGCGTGTGCTAGAGCCAGACATTATCGATATTATCGGCCGATATTAGGCATTTTCCAAACTATCGGTATTGGCAGTTATAATGGCCGATAAATGAATTTCAAAAATAAAATAAAAACGGACGAAACACGCTTCAACCATGTCATGAGTGTTGGAGTTGTATAGTTAGTCCACCAGACGGCAGTGATTCATCCAAAAGTTTTTGAATCTGAATTTATATTTAGTTTTCTATAAAACAACAGAAACCTAGAACGAACATTTTTTTATAATGTAGAATGTATAAAGGTTTTTTTTATAACAATTACAAAGATCTGAATCAGTAAATGAAATCACAGACATCCAATGCAAATATTTGGAACTGTAATGTCATTCAGAAATTGTCTGAATAATGCTTATTGCATGTCTTCTTTAGATAGCGCAAACAAAGCGCTCGTACTTGATGAAGAGACAAGACATCAGTCTCTTGATCCTTTTGTTTGTTCATGGGTGTAAAAAAACGTTGACGGCTTTCTGCATGTACTGTAACACACAAACACACTTGATGCATTACACATCTCACTGGCCTCACCATCAACTTCAGTCCCATTTGCATCTCATAAATTATTCAGAAAAGCTCCATAAATATGCAAACTCAATTCCTACTCTAACTCATTTGCTTTATGCCATCTGGCCATTAAGCAACTTCTAAACAGTTCATTTAGAGAGCTATAAACACACACACACCCACACACACACGTAGACAGGTATCTTCCGACATCCAATTTACATACACAAACCACACACAGATTTGCTGATCCAGCTGAAGAGAAGACCACCAAGGTCAAGGTGTCTATCTTCTTTCCCACCAGCACTTTTTCCTCTTACCTTACCTTTTACTTCCCATTCCCACTTGTACATATTCAAATGTTTTTCACTCTTAAGGCCAATTCACACATCAAACGACAGACGGCGAGCAATGGCAACAGACACTTTCGGGTTTTGTCAGATCAGTGTTTTACCCCAGTCCTCGTCTGTCAGCGTTTGTCTGATGTTTGTCAGCTCATGAAATGTCTGAGTAGTTATGGATTATAATCAGGTTGATTGTTCGCTTTGGTCAGGACCTGTCGGTGCAGTGTGAGTTTATGCTCGTTTTAATGCTACTATCATTTCTCCTTTTCTCAAGATATGTTAGTACAAATAGTAGTATGCTATTTCTGTAGTGTGCAGTATGTTTACTGTACATATACTATTATGAAATACGTAGAAGACCAACTACATATGCAAAATCTCTCAATGCAGTATGCTTGACTACACCCTCCATTTCCGAATGAAATGGAAGTGTTGCGAATGAACCGCAAATAATATAAGCCGTTTTTTTTTTACTGTACATCATTTCCATCTTGACTCATCATGCTAAATTGGATTAAAAATGCAACATAACCACTTTATTTTCAAGATGATAACTGGACGGCACTAGCTGAATAAAACATGAGGTCATGTGACAATGACTACATTTACAAGTAGTCATGTAAAATGTACATGTGACAATGACTACATTTATTGTAAACAATATTAGATCAAATTAATATGATTAAGCTCATAATCATAGTGATATATAGTAATATAAAGAATTGGGTATGTAAAAACTTTAATCTATTCCACTCTGGCCAATACATGTGCTTGTAATGTACATGGATGACGTTGTCATGCGCAGATTTGTAAACATAGCAGTAAAGAAGGCATCACATTTTAGGGGTGCTGAAGAAACTGAATCCATGTTGAAAACATGTAAACCTCACTCCCCTGGCCTTAAAATTTAGTTTAAATTGATAAAATTGTTTGTTTTAATCACATTTTCGCAGTTTCCCCTATTAAATCCAGTCACGCAGCAGATCTTTTGCCACTCAGTCAGGCTGAGGGGGGTTGTTCCGGCGGGAAAGTGACGTCAATGCATTCCCTCTATAGGGACCCTTAATGAATGACAACATGTAGTTGAATGCAATATGTTACCACATTTTTGTTTAGTTTTGTTATACAGATTTTGTATTTTTTTTACATAAGACATACATACATACATTAATATTGACTCTAAAAAACTGTCTTCAGCCTTTTGCAAAACAATAAATAGGCTAAATAAAAATCTAAATGTACTGTATTATCAATTATTTTGTTATTTGGCATGATTTCGATTAAAATAAATGAATTTCTAAGCCAAAGTATGAGCAGTATGATGCTAATTCTAATGAATACCTCAGTAAGCACCTCAAATTACACAACTAAAAACATTTGTTTGCAAATTTTTGATTGAAAAAGAAAGGAATAACTCACACAAAAAGTCTCTAAAGCCTGGGGTTTGGGCACAGCGTCTCGGTCTCTTCAGACACCTGTCCATTTGACACTTTCTCACCTCTCTCTCTCTCTCACACACACACACATATACTTTTTTTCTTGGCTCTACAGGTGAACCACACACACACAAACCTGGTCTCCATCTGTTGTCTCTGCTCTTATTGGCAGGCACAGAACTGGCTAAAGGTCACATGGTGCTTCTTAATTACATATCTCATTCCATTATGACCTAATTAATAGCAGAAATCAAAAGCGTGTGTGTGTGAGGTGAATAAACTGTCAGTGTATATAACACATTCTGAAAGTGTTCCTAAAAGCATCAGGACTGCAATGCCATTGAGTCAGTTCTGCGTTTGTCTGCATGAAGGGAACTCAACAAATATGCTTTTTGCTTTTTCAAAGATGACCTATTAACCCCTTTTTCAAAGTCATGACATATACTGTAGTTTGTGAAATGTATTTATTAACC